CTCTACTAGCCAATCATAAGGACTATCGCACACAAATTGACATAACTGCATATGCATAGCATAAGATCGTATGGACCAATGAGCATCGAATATTAGGGCTATCGCACACCAATATGGCGACTTAATACTCGATGCTCATTGGTACATACGGTCTTATGCTATGCATATGCAGTTATGTCAATTTGTGTGCGATAGCCCTAAGGTTTATAAGTACTTGTTCGACCAATAAACGTAGGCTGAATAACCCAGAGTGAGTTAACCCAGAGCCAGTCGAACATGTTATAATTTTATAAAAATAACGGATCTAATATCAAAGTATTCTAGGTTTTAGATCCGTTATTTTTATAAAATTATAGCGTGTTTGACTGGCCTTGGGTTAGTCGCTCCGAGAGCGATTAATGACGTCATAAGTCTCTACTAGTCAATCATAAAACTTATAAGTACTTGTTTGACCAATAAACGTAGGCTGAATAATCCAGAGTGGGTTAACTCAGAGCCAGTCGAACATGCTATTAGTTCCGAAGTTCCTACTATAAGGGTGCTATTTCACGTGTCGTACGACAAGCTTTTCGGATACGTTTATTGGTTGGCGAATAGAGTATTTCTAGGTTCTCTGTTCGTCAACCAATAAACGTATCCAAAAAGCTTGTCGTACGACACGTGAAATATCAGCCTAAGCCGCCACCATCTACATTGGCCATTTGCGGTAGTGATAGATTTAAGCCCATTCTACAATTGCGTGAACGTGGACGTAAGTGGGTAAGTGATTACGACAACCAATCAGAGTAAAGCAATCAGTGAATAAAACATTCGGATTGGTTGACTCTTACGTTCACGACTACGCTTACGCAATTGTAGAATGGGTTTTAAGCTTTAAGTTAGTGAAGTAAAGAACAAACTTATTTTGTGCTGTCTTTATATATGTATATAATTCTTTCAATGTATAGTATTTTGATTATTATTCGGTAAAAGGACTTGTTTTCTTTGGACTTTAACCAATTCGCATTTTGTTCTTCAGAAAATACTAATCCCTTGTAGAAAGAACAATTGAGATATTTTTTTTGTTCAATGAGTTTTATAATACTAGAACACCACATAGCGCGCGCTTCGCGCGCGCCACTTTAGCCTTTTCGTTGTACTATTTACAATTTATATTACAATACTCGTTTTTACAAATTATATTCCCAGCAAACACAATGTTACATACCCTTATAGAAATATCATACTAAGAATCATTGACAATTACTTATTATCCAGTATTTTTAATACTGAAAATAAGTAATTATCAATGATTCTTAGTATGATATTTCTATAAGGGTATAACATACATGTTAGTTGTAATTTCCTATTCAACCATGTAACTGTTATATAACACGTATATTATATAACAGTTATATTGTTTGTTGAGTAAGAAATTACAACTAACATGTATGTTACATGTAACATTGTGTTTGTTGGGATTACAATAAATATCAAATTTATATGACGCGAACAACACAACCTGATCTGTCACCGCGGCTGACAGCTGCAAGCGGCACGAATTCAACTGCGACGGGATCGAGACAATCGAGACGGTCGAGACGGCCAATTAGCGTCGCGGAAAAGAGGCTTCACCCACTTCGATACATTCGAGATTTAGTTAAGACGCAATTTTTCTGATAGGATTTGTGACATATCGGAGCAAGAGTGACAAAAGTGGTCTGTTCATAACTTTATAAATGTATAATGTGGTTATCTGCAAATTATATCGGCAAGGCAATTGCCGTTATGGGCAATATTGTCAATTTGAACATGTCAATCATTTTGGTGAGACGAACACTAATGATATTGTCAAGTTATAATTTGACATTTGAGTACTATAATTATTTGTTTTCAAAATAGGTGGCCCCATAACAGACTTATCTAATGAGGATGAAATCGCGTAAGTATACATATCAAGTATACAAGAATTTGTTGTAATTATCTGTTTATGAAAGATAAAATCTATTTTTATCATTTTCTTTATTTCTATGTAATACTAGTGTTATTGTGGCAAAAGAAGTCCTCCTTGCTGAAAAAGGTGGACAATGGTTATTGTCATGTTTTGCACCGCTCAAAGGATGTCCCAGTATTCCAGACATGGAGGATTTGTCTCCAGATGAAGTTCGATGGGAGATGTACCAGGCTCAAAAAAGTGGCATGTTTGAGCAAGCAGTTAATAAAACTTACATATATATACATAAATTATTTAGAGGAAAAACAAAATTCTACAGTACTCGAAGAATATTCAAAACATTGTCGTACTTAATATGATATAGAATGTAATATATAATATGTAGTTTGTAATATTATATAGTGGTAATATGTTAATTGCTTTAAATAAATGTGTTTAGAACCTGCATTTTCAACAACTGTGCCAAGACATGAAGGCCAAGAGAGATGCATTGAAGAATCCCAGTCGAGAGACAATAACTATGTTGGTATGTATCATGATTGTTCTCTTTGTGTAATTATGGTGAGTAATCGATAAAACCTGTATCAAATGGAATGCTTTGTTTCAGAAAAAACTTTTGGGTAGTAGTCAAATAGGTGGGTTGAATGAAAATAGCAATACAACCAAGAAATCATCTCATTCCTTTCTTGCAGCCTCTCAGTTGAATAACATGTTCGGGAAACAAACATTTGGCGTGCACAGTAACAGTTCATTCAGTGGAGGATTCAACTTTTCAAATAATACGACGATATTCGGAAGATCCAACAATAGCACGACACCCATGTTCGGCGGCACGCCAACCTTTGGGAACAATAACAGCTTCGGTACCACGACGAACACCAGCTCTATTTTCAGCGGAACAACAAACACGCCGACGTTCGGAACCGTCGCGTCTCAGTCTAATCCGATTTTTGGCAGCACATCTCAAGGCATATTCGGCCAAAGTAATGTATTCGGTGGAGGGACGAGTGAGCTGACTACGTCGGCATTCGACAGCGGTGCGACTTCTTCATTGTTCAACAATCCGATGACTTTCCAGGCGAACATTTCTTTGTTCGCAGCGGCGCAAACCACCACCGCAAGCTTGTTCGGCGGCTCATCGAACACCCAGACGAATTCAGTCTTTGGCGCGACCACATCGTCTGGTCCCTTCAACGCTGGATTATTCAGTCAGCCGAAGACACTGCCCGCCATCGATGGAGCGCCAGTTTTTGGCGGAGCGACGAATTATACTGGCAATTCCAGCTCTATATTCGGCGGATCCGCTCAAACGTTTGGCACACCAGCGATATCGTCGAGCGGTATCTTCGGTGCAGCCGCCACTACGACTCCGGCATTCGGAGGATTTGCTGCTACTATAACACCAGCCTTTGGTACGTCCGCCGCTACCACGACGCCTGCTTTTGGTGGAACTGCCGTCACAACTACACCGGCTTTCAGTTTGGGCCAGCAACCTGTGGCTAATACTTTTGGGACGCCAGTATCCACCCCAAATGTCTTCGGAGCACAGAACACCGGCACTGCTATGCCGATAAGTAATAATACACCGTTCGGAGAGCCGGTCAACGGTCCGTTCGTCACTGTAGCGAATCCGCAATTCGGTTCTACAAGTACGACTTCGACACCGTTTGCCAGCGCGGGATTTGGTCTGGCGGCAGCGAACACGAGCGACACGTTTGGTACCGCCGCCACGTCTTCTAATTCATTGTTCGCGAATGCGATATGCATATCTATCAGATGTAAGATAGTGAAATAAAAGAAAAATGTTAGAAAAATGTTGTCTAAGTAGTATTTTCTAAAAGCAATGTGTAATATTTACTCACTCAGCTACTACAGTTTTACCAGCTGATGTATGCGCAGAAACAAAAACAGACTGATTGTTCTCAATGCATAAAATTGCTTCCTTTTGAAATGGATCTAGTATAAATTTGTACTCTTTTGCTGGCTTGCCTTCTTTATGTTCCAGAGGTATGAGTTCCTGTTCAGGAGGGATAGCAACCTCATGTGTATAGGATTCTATAGACTCTATAGTATGCACTTTTATACAACATGCTATTTCTTCTAAACTAAAAATATATTTTATTTAATTGCTTGAATATTATAAATTGATAAAATATTTCAATTATATCATATCAATTAAGTAGATATAACCAAATGTAGTTGATACAAATAAAATCTTACTTGATAGGATCATGTCGTATTTTCTTAACCAGTGTCTTCTCATCGTCCTCATCATGTTGACGCTTTACACCTACTTCTAATTCATCTTTACTGCAAATTTATTTCAAATAAATAATCGAATATATAGTCAATATAATAGCATTTGAAAGAGAAAAATTACAACAGCTGAATAAGTTATATTGTCTTTTTTTTTTAGAAAAGAACATTATATTTTTTATCCTTACGCTATAAAAAGTGTAATCGAGTTGGAGGAATTCTCGATTATTCAACTCGGTACATCGAGGGGGCAGTCGAAGACGATGGAGACAGGAAGGAGGTAGGAGAGACGGAGAGTTTCAGGAGGGAGAGAGGAACAAAAAGGCGAGCGCGAAGAGTTTGAGAGAGACACGCAGAGATACGCGGAAACTCAGAATAGACTCAGAAAGAGAAAGGCGAAAGGGTCGTGAAGGGAGTTTTGGGAATAGTCGAATAGTGGGATTAGTCGGAGAGATCTCTGGGAATATTCAAGTATCGAATATCTTCTGGAAGGATTAGATTAGGAGCCGAATATTTAGATATAAGAATACGTGTTACATTTTGTATTAGTGTTAGTTGGGTTACAAATATAGATAAGTATATTTTCATAAAGTCTAGTTTATTCAATATATCAACTTCCTACGAGAGACGATGAAACGGTCGTACTTACGATAGAAGAAAGAAATTAGGTGATCGTTCTTTCCTTACAAAAGTATATAATCTAGAATGAACGAAACGGAACAAGGTTCCACTCCAGTACAAGCTCAGTTAAAATTTTATGCAATTTGCCCACGCGTGGGTTATCCATGGTTATGTTTAGTATTGTGTACTTATTTTAATGAAAGGTCCGACTTTTTGGGTAAATGAATAATTTCCGATTCATCATCTTGCTCATCAAAAGCATCAAATAAATCTTCGATAGCATTTGCCATAATTTATTTCTAATTATTGCATTAATTCAGTATTTTTTCAACAAGAAAATACGTTTGCATCACGGACTTGATTGACGGTGCGAAAGCTTAGTTTGTGGACGAGAAAAGTCAGGAAAGTGAAGCCGAAGTAGTTAAGGGGTTATCCCTAGTCAGGAAGCCGAAAAATAGGTGATTTTTGAGAATTTTTTTTGCATTAACTATAAAACTTGTTTAAAATTGGGTTGGTCTATGTGAGAGAATATATTTTTATGAATGTAACATAATTTTTTAAATAAAAAATATTAATAATTAAAAAAGATACGGCCATCCTCCTGAAGGCCCTTTCAAAAAACTGGTTTTACGGTGTCCACTGCTGCTCGAATCTGGATTATCTGAAATCAAAAAACCAAAAAGATTCTGTAAGTATATGAATATATCTTGTTCGTGAACGAAAGAATTTTTGAAAAAATAATTTTTGACAAAATGGCGGCCGTTTTAATGAAAAACGTAATTTTTCGGGCTCTTAATTTTTCGTTTTTCTTCAATAAAAAAAAAAGTTTTCATTAAAAAAAAAAACCCTTCGTTCACGAACAAGCCCTAGATACACAGAATAAGTACGAAAAAGGTTTAGGTCGATTGCTTTAACGGTTCTCGAGATATTGTGGACACCGCACGGGACTTTTTAGAAAAATGTAATTTCGAGAAAAACGCGTTTAAAGTTTGCGGTCTAGTTATCAGTAGAGTATAATTTAATTTTTTTAACTTACACAGAATCATCGATTCCAGGCCCATAAAGTAAGCCTTCTGCTGCCGAAGCCACCTCCAAAGCATCAATTTTCTTCTGTCTACGATGCTTTCTGGCCTCTTGTGTATTTTCTTGCGCGCGGCGCTCGGCAATAGCGACGCGTCCCTCGTCTTCGTCTGCCACGAATGCATGGGCATTTGGGCCAGTAGAAACTCCCATCGCTTGCATTATTTGTAACAAAGCTTTTGAGCCTTCATTAAAAACACAAGCTGACACATATGCAGCTATTTCGATTGGTATTAAGCCGCTTGGAAGAATTTTTGGACTGATTTTCCAAATCAGTTGATTATAACTTTCGTTGTTATTTTGCGTAAATCCACCAACACATCGATCTAATAACTCTTGTTTACTCAAGTCCTTGTAAATTGGCTCGATAGCCGTTAAAACATCAGTCGGCAAAGCGTCGTAGGTGTGTATAAAACTTTTTATTTTTTGCTTCTGATTGTTTGGTAACTCTGCGTACGCGCGCTGCCATTCGCACCACGATTCCGCTCCCGCCGGGCAGAGGTCATGTTTCGGATTTTCGTTTGTTGAACTGTAGTGATTATATGTAGCCCAAATAGCTGTTTTCATATTCTCTGCTGAGTCATAATTTCTACGTATAGCTAGACCATAGTAAACCGTTAACTTATCGATCATTTTACCAGTTAGTTTGCCTTTGCCGCCGAGCCCTTTATTTTTCTTTTTACACTCACGTAATCGCGTGCCCATTCTTTTTTGGACGTGACCGATGCATTCTTTTTTATTTACAGTAATGTCTTCATAAGACGCGGCATTTAAAATACTGGAGTATGTTTTTGAATCACCGTCTTCGATGTAGTTCTCGTACTTGACACCGTGCAGAGTTTCGGAACGCTTGAACATTTCAACAATCGCCTCGACCTCCATTTTACCGGATGATCCCACGTGATTCGCCCTGCATTCGGCTTTATGATTTTCGAGCCATTCTTCATATTCAAAAGTATCTTGTTTTTTATCCCAAAATTCGCACATTTTACAATAAGCACTTTTTACCACGACATCGAGCACTTTACCGCTATGATAACCAATTATAGAAGAGACACCAAACAGAGATGTGAAACCTCGCTTTTTCCACGTTCCGTCCCCTGAAACAGTTAGTTTTGTATTATCTTGTCCAACGGTTTGCTCCATTTCTTCTTTAACAGCGTTTTCAAAAAGCACATCACGAACAGTTTTGACGCACGAATGAATGTGCTTGATAATGATATCATAGGTGGTGTAATAGAAAAACTTCGGCATGTCCATGAGTCCACAAAACTTCTGAGCACCTTTTAGTCCCAAACCAAGAACTCTCATCGTAAATATAAAACGTCTATTAATTTCGTAAGAGTGATTTGTAAAAGCGCACGAAGGAATTTCCTGTGGCGGACACTGATCACATAAAACAGCAATTTTAAATCCTAGTCCCCGAGTACTGGCTGTCTGAAACTTTATGTCACTATTGCATTTTTTGCACTTCACAAGCATTGCGATAGCCGAAAATACAGAAATAAAATTGATAATCCTATATTCTATAGAATTATCTTGCGGCACCACGATTTTTTTCTGCATCTCGATTTTTTTTTTAGATGCACTAAAACTTGCTTCGTTCGTCTCCGCTGTCTTAGGGTTGAAAGATTGTTTCCTCTTCTTTGACCTTGATTTGCGCGCTCCTCCTAGCAGTTCTCTTTTATTTCGTCCGAGTTTTTCATTCGGATTCATCGTGAAAAACACGCGAAAATTACAGCAAAGTCGAAGTAAGTTGATTTGCTCAGCTTAAAGCCAACTGCCAAACTGAGCTCGTTGGCCGTTTGAATACAAGCAGAAACTCGTCTAGACGTGTAATAACCTGTTTATTGTGAGTATAAACCCAAGCTACCTGCTCTCGGAGCGGTCCCTACGTTCAAACTCGCATAACTTTGTCAATTTTCGTTTGATTAATATGAAACTTTCAGAAAACATTTTTGAGATGGCATACTTTTAGAATATGCAAAAACCTAAAAATCGATTTTTTCGACTTTTCTAACTAGAGATAACCCCTTAAGGGAACTCAGCCTTCAGCCATCTTGTTCAGCGACATTAATGCTGCCATCTATCGTTACTTCAACGTATCATATATCTATGGTCGATGGAAATAGTAGCGACTCATAGCGGATACTTCGAAACTAATAGCGTGTTCGACTGGCCCTAGGTTAATCGCTCCGAGAGAGATTAATGATGTCATAAGTCTCTACTAACCAATCATAAAGCTTATAAGTACTTGTCGACCAATAAACGTAGGCTGAATAACCCAGAGTGGGTTAACTCAGAGCCAGTCGAACATGCTATTAGTTCCGAAGTTCCCACTATAAGGGTGTTATTTCACGTGTCGTACGACAAGCTTTTCGGATACGTTTATTGGTTGGCGAATAGAGTATTTCTAGGTTCTCTGTTCGTCAACCAATGAACGTATTCAAAAAGCTTGTCGTACGACACGTGAAATATCAGCCTAGGCTGCCACCATTTACATTGGCCATTTGCGGTAGTGATAGATTTAAGCTTTAAGTTAGTGAAGTAAAGAACAAACTTATTTTGTGCTGTCTTTATATATGTTTATAATTATAAACACTTAATTCCTGAATTGGAAGCAAAAAGGCTTGTGGGTCACCTATCTTTTCCCTTATTCACCAAGTTTCATTCATTTAAAATAGATACCACATCTTTTAAAATAATAGGCAAATACAGCAAAAAAGTTTGAAATTTTTACTACTCTGGATCCAAAAAAATATCGATTAAAGGTATCAATAAGGTTTTTGATTCAGTGATTAAAAAACAAAATTTTAAGTGCATCCTGTATACAGATGGCTCTATAGCTTCAAATGGGCGATCTGGATATGGTATCTTTTCTCTGGATCCAGAAATTAATATATCACATGCATACATAAAATTTTCAGATATATTAAACGTAGAAGCTCAGGCAATAATAGATGTTCTAGAAATTGTATCTAAAATGGGCAAAAATAATGTCGCAATTTGTAGACTCGATAAGTGCTCTCTCTTCCTTGAATAATCTGTTCTGCCAAAAAAAAACCTAATATTTTAATACTTAAAATAGCTCAAAAACTGATAGATCTTGAACTTTCTGGCATTGTTGTTACGTTAATTTGGACCCCAGCGCATAGGGGTATTCAAAGAAATGAAATGGCTGACAAATTGGCTAAGGAGGTCACAAACAGTAGTCGGCAGTCTGGAGGAAACTGTATCTACATTGAAGATTTAATTTCAAATATCCGACCGGAGTTCACGAGCTTAGCTCATAAGATCCTAGAAAAGCAGTTTAAGCAAAAAAGGCTTAGATATCGTGCCAAAATATCACATCTTTCCTCTTGACCCTGGTTTTGGCAGTACAAATTCATCAAGAGGGACGTAATATCGTTAATAGCTAGGCTTAGATCATATCATATCAGATCAAGCACGCATCTTATGGATAAGGACATTATCACCGAAGAAACTTGTGAATGTGGAGCGAGAGAGAAAAATATACAACACATATTGTTCAAATGTTCTTTATTTTCAGAAGAATCTGGAAGATTAATCACTGAATTATTTAAGGCGGGATACACAACACATAATGACATACATGAATTATCTTTCGATCTAAGTAACATCAAATTGTTCTCAATCATATCAAATTTCTTAACAAGAGTTGGATGTACAATATGAGAACACACTTTACACGAATCACATATACGATGGAAGCTTTTACTCGGAGCAATGGCGTAGAATCACTTAAAGCAAAGTGCTTTCAGCCAAATATTGAAATTGAAACTGAATATGTCTATAATTCTTTCAATGTATAGTATTTTGATTATTATTCGGTAAAAGGACTTGTTTTCTTTGGACTTTAATCAATTTGCATTTTGTTCTTCAGAAAACACTAATCCCTTGTGGAAAGAACAATTGAGATATTTTTTTTTGTTCAATGAGTTTTATAATATTTGTGACATATCGGGGCAAGAGTGACAAAAAGTGTCTGTTCATAATTTTATAAATGTATAAGATGGTTATCTGCAAATTTTATCGGCAAGGCAATTGCCGTTATGGACAATATTGTCAATTTGAACATGTCAATCATTTTGGTGAGATGAACACTAATGATATTGTCAAGTTATAATTTGACATTTGAGTATAATTATTTGTTTTCAAAATAGGTGGCCCCAAAACAGACTTATATAATGAGGATGAAATCGCGTAAGTATACATATCACAAGAATTTGTTGTAATTGTCTGTTTATATAAGATAAAATCTATTTTTATCATTTTCTTTGTTTCTATGTAATACTAGGGTTATTGTGGCAAAAGAAGTCCTCCTTGCTGAAAGAGGTGGACAATGGTTATTGTCATGTTTTGCACCACTCAAAGAACGTCCCAGTATTCCAGGCATGGAGGATTTGTCTCCAGATGAAGTTCGATGGGAGATGTACCAGGCTCAAAAAAGTGGCATGGTCGAGCAAGCAGTTAGTAAAACTTACATATATATACATAAATTATTTAGAGGAAAAACAAAGTTCTACAGTACTCCAAGAATATTCAAAATATTGTCGTACTTAATATGATATAGAATGTAATATATAATATGTAGTAATATTATATAGTGGTAATATGTTAATTGCTTTAAATAAATGTGTTTAGAAACTGCATTTTCAACAACTGTGCCAAGACATGAAGGCCAAGAGAGATGCATTGAAGAATCCCAGTCGAGAGACAATAACTATGTTGGTATGTATCATGATTGTTCTCTTTGTGTAATTATGGTGAGTAATTGATAAAACCAGTATAAAATGGAATGCTTTGTTTCAGAAAAAACTTTTGGGTAGTGGTCAAAAAGGTGGGTTGAGTGAAAATAGTAATACAACCAAGAAATCATCTCATTCCTTTCTTGCAGCCTCTCAGTTGAACTTAGCTAATAGCACACCAGCCAATAACGTGTTCGGGAAACAAACATTTGGCGTGCAGAGTAACAGTTCATTCAGTGGAGGATTCAACTCTTCAAATAATACGTCGATATTCGGAAGATCCAACAATAACACGACACCCATGTTCGGCAGCACGCCAACCTTTGGGAACAATATCAGCTTCGGTACCACGACGAACACCAGCTCTATTTTCAGCGGAACAACGAACACGCCGACGTTCGGAACCGTCGCGTCTCAGTCTAATCCGATTTTTGGCAGCACGTCTCAAGGCATATTCGGCCAAAGTAATGTATTCGGTGGAGGGACGAGTCAGCTGAACTCGCAGTCGACCACGTCGGCATTCGACAGCGGTGCGACGTCTGCCACCTCATTGTTCAACAATCCGATGACTGCCCAGGCGAACACTTCTTTGTTCTCAGCGGCACAAACCACCACCGCAAGCTTGTTCGGCGGCTCATCGAACACCCAGACGAATCCAGTCTTTGGCGCGACCACATCGTCTGGTCCCTTCAACGCTGGATTATTCAGTCAGCCGAAGACACTGCCTGCCTTCGGTGGAGCGCCAGTTTTTGGCGGAGCGACGAATTATACCGGCAATTCCAGCTCGATATTCGGCGGATCCGCTCAAACGTTTGGCACACCAGCGATATCGTCGAGCGGTATCTTCGGTGCAGCCGCCACTACGACTCCGGCATTCGGAGGATCTGCTGCTACTATAACACCAGCCTTTGGTACGTCCGTCGCTACCACGACGCCTGCTTTTGGTGGAACTGCCGTCACAACTACACCAGCTTTCAGTTTGGGCCAGCAACCTGTGGCTAATACTTTTGGGACGCCAGTATCCACCCCAAATGTCTTCGGAGCACAGAACACCGGCACTGCTATGCCGATAAGTAATAACACACCGTTCGGAGAGCTGGTCAACGGTCCGTTCGTCACTGTAGCGAATTCGCAATTCGGTTCTACAAGTACGACTTCGACACCGTTTGCCAGCGCGGGATTTGGTCTAGCTGCAGCGAACACGAGCGACACGTTTGGTACCGCCGCCACGTCTTCTAATTCATTGTTCGCGAATGCGGGAACTACCTTCGCTTCCTCGAGCGCGAATGTTGTGTCGAACGTTTCACCGTTCCCGCCGATATTTGGTGCTCAGCCATTCGGTGGAATTAACACAACTATGGCTACGACGACGACGGCAACGGTGACGACAACGACGACTGTGACAAATCCATTCGCACCGCGTACACAGCAAAGTAGCACGCCGTTCGGTAGCGTCGCGCAAAATCAACTTACCACCAGCTCCGCGTCTCCGTTCGGCAATACATCGCTCGCCGTTACTATAACTAGCACTATTATTGACGACAGTGTGTACACCGCGGAAGATGCGTTAACGAACGATGAAATAAGTATGTACTTGGCTGACAAATTCGTCGTCGGTAAAATACCACTAAAACCTCCTACTAAAAATATAAGGTGATTTTCGAGAATTACGTTTTCGACAACAAAGATATCGAGCATATAATATAATAAAGACATTTTTGATGTGTAAGAATATTCCGTCGATCTATGAGATGAATTTCGCTTGGAAAAAAGATATGGTCCGATGTATAATACATTGTTCTCTTGTATCAACGTCTTTAAGTTAATTAATTATACAGTTATTTACATATGTACAAAAGTTGATTGATCGTATCACAAACTATGAACCTATTCATAGACTTTTGTAATAGATTTTATAATAGATTACTACGGGTGGAAGGAGAAAGGGAATAGGAGCGTGTGATGAAACGCTACTAGTAAACTGCATATTTTTTAAAATGCAAGTAACACACAGGATGTCTGACGAGTAACGTGACACCTGTACAAACTTCGCCAGCATATTGTTACAAACTATTTTCTCAAGAATCCTCAGAGACAGTAAAAAATTTCTTTTCTAAGTTTTTTTTCACATTCCCCATTTCTTGTCTTGGCTCTGTCAATGAAATATAAGTATGTTTCAAAACACGTTACTTGTGTAACTCACTTATACTTATTTTTGAATACAGAACATGCTGGAGAAATTTACACGGAAACATTATTAACGCTGTCGGACATCTTGCATATACACGCTATTCCTAGGCTCACGTAATCGGACGCAGACTGCGCGTAAACTCTATAAACACACCTGTGGTAAATGACACAGGGAGTTCGACGGGTAATTAGTTCGTTGCGCGTAAGTCGTAGGCTGGTTGGACGTTTGCGATAGACCGGGTGGTATACCATTGGAAGGTTTATAGCCGGTAATCTGAAACGATGATAGGAACCACATATGAATCCATGAAAAATCGAATTTGGCCAAGTAATAATTTGCAATTGCAAGTAGCCTTATCGGCTGAACAAATTGAGCACTTACTTTGTCGTTCATTTCAGGAAATATTGTGCTTAGATTGAAATTAGTGAGACTGGTGCCTGACGGATGATGCGGCATCGCCATCGGGTTGCTCGAGACGATTCCTCCTCGTACCATGTTGGAGTTCATCGAGAAACCGGGCGCGCCTACGACTGCGACACCCTGAGCCCCCGCCACGGTTGGCGGCGGTGGTGGTGGAAGACCATTCGCAGTCTTGGCGTAAACATTCGTTTGAGGGTGATTCTGATAGAGGGGATTGGCGTGGGGCGGCGGTGGTGGCGGTGGCGGCGGCGGCGGCGGCAGAAAGGAGGTCGAGTGATGGTAGTCCTCCAACGGTGAGTTTATACCGGACAGAGGAAACTCCAGGTTCTGCATTGGACCGTCGAGACCCTTCCGCTTGCCCTTTTTCGCAGCGGTGGAATACGAACGTTTGTCGCAGTTGGGATGTTTCCCGTAATGCGGATGGTTCTTCGTATTGGCGGTGGTGGTGGTGTTTGCGCTGGACGTGTTCACCGTGCTGGCGCTCGACGAACTCGTCACGTTCGGCAGCAAGAAACTATTCGCCTCCACATAATCGGTGGCGTTCTCATGAAGCGGCATCATGTAGCCATTAGGCGCGTTGGAGATGCTGGTGATAAAGTTACTTGAGGGATAGATGGAATTGGCGTTGGACGAGTACGCGTACGAGTTGAAATTTTGATTCACCACCTGGCCATAGCCGGTACCGTCGTCTGCGCTCGGGAAATAATTGATCGGCATAACTGCGGCGTCTGCGGTGGATAAGCCGCTCTGGAACTTATTCTGCGAGTAGTTCGCCGTGAACTTAATCGACGCGTGTTTATCCTGATGACTGCCGTCGTGAACACTAGTGCCAATTAGCGCCTCCGCGGTGTAGTTGCTCTTGCAGTTTCTGCTTCTCCAGTGTACGTTGTTTTGCTGATACTTTTGTTGCTGCTGCTGCTGTTGTTGTTGTTGTTGCTGTTGCTGCTGCTGCTGCGATGGTTGTTGATAGCTCTGCTCTGTGAACACGTGTCCAGACGATTTCTGCTCCTCGTGTCGTTGGTGTAAACTGTCGTTGGTCGTTGTGGATTTGCGGATGTCCATCTGTCGCTTACTAGTCGTTCTAGGACTCGTGTTACTTTTTCTCTGATGCTTCCTGGCTTGCTGCTGCTGCTGTTGCTGCGAATGTTGATGCTGGTGCGGATGGTGATGTTGGTGATGCTGATGCTGTTGGTGACTCTGCTGCTGATGGGACTTCTCCGCCTTCTCGTGCTCCACGAGTTGACTTACGGATAGGAAAGTGGAAGCCGGATGTTGCGCGTTCTGCGTGTTCAGTATCGCGTGGAAGTCTCGTCCCTGCACGTTCGCCTCTTTTTCCTTGATTACGTCTTTGCTAGGCTCCGCGGTGACTCTTGACGAAGGCGTCGCGCCAAATAAGAAGTTCTGCTTCTCCGTCAGATTGGCGCCGAGATCTAGATCGCTCACCAAAGTCTGCAAACTTGATGGCACGATGTGCTGGTCGATGCACTTGACTGACTGTCCGTGCTCCACGTTGTGCACACCATTTTTCGTCGGCGACCACGGGAACGGTTGTTCCTCAGAGTAGAAGGTATCAGTCGGTCGCTTTGGATCATTGCTTTGCAGGACTGGCAAATTCGAGAAACTGTGCGCGGCGACGTCGTAATTATTGTAGAACTGATTCGGCGTGCCCTGATTGTAGTTGGGCGTCTGAGCGAACAGATTGTTTGGACAGAATTCTAGTTCTTTACCGATCGGCGGCAAGATAATGTCGATATTGGTATTGTGCTTGACTTCTGGCGTCATCATCCAGTTGACCGGCGCCTTGATCGCATGTTGATGTTGATTCCCCTTAGATTTGTTACTGCCGCTGTTGTTATGCGATTGCTGTTGCTGTTGTTGCGGCTGCTGCTGCTGTTGGCCATGCTTCACGTCGCTGCTGTAGGTACTGCTGCTATCGTGCGGTAAACCAGGAATCTGACCTTGGCTCAACGTCTGATACTTGTGTTGATTCTGCTGCTGGGTTTTCTCGGTGTACTTGAAGTTCGTGCCGGCGTAAGCCTCGATGGAGTATTTGATTTGTACATTGTTCTCTGCTAAATCGAAGTTGATTTGAGGCTCGTAGCTTGGCATGCTGTATACAGACTTCTCCTGCTTAGATGACAGGCTTTGATGATTTTTCGGAGTATGTTGGGATTGTTGCTGCTGCTGCTGTTGTTGCTGCTGTTGATCCATAGCAGTATATTCGTTCGACATGTAGTCCGAGTCCATGGCGTACTTATTCTTGCTTTTCCCGCCGTCAGTATATTTGTAGTCATTACCGGTCTGTTGATTCTGCATCCTATTCTGCTTCGCCACGGACGCGACGTTCGACGGATCGTTCCTGTTCTTCGTGGGATCGACGAAGGTCTGTTTCTGCGACTCGATTTTCCCCCTAGGTTTATCCATCCCGGAGATTGTCGAGCTGCTCGCGTAATTGTCGTTAGTCAATACCTGATTGGAAAAATTCGGGTTTTCCTTGTGCAGAGATACGTAGTTGTAACTCTCGCAGAGATTTTTCGCCTCAGTATTGTCGTTGGGATGTGGAGCCTGCTCAAAGTGTACCAGATTATTGCTGCCTCCGTTGGATGGCAAGAGCGTCGTCCACGACACGATATTAATGTTAGACGAGTTGTGAGCGGTGGTAGTGGTGGACTTGGCGTGATTCTCGGTCGCTGTACTCTGCTCGTAATTGGACGTACTGACGAACGACGTCTGCTGCGAATAACGTTGAACTACGTTCTGTTGCACTGTCGGCTTGTTGCCGGTCATGACGTTGGTAGATGCTACGGTGTTACTCTTCTTGTCGTCCTTGTTGGAGTAGGAAACGTAAGCATGCGCGTCGTCGCGTTTACTGGCGAACATATCGTCGGTGTTCGCGTTTAGAATATTGCGCTCCGTCTGATTGCTCATTGCCTCCTTCACCTCGTACTGGAACGACTGGACGAAATGATCCACGTCCAATTTCTTTGCGGAAGCGTAGCTCGTGGAGTCGCGTACGTGACTGTGTTGCTCTTGGGATTTGGAACCGAGCACTCCACTCAACTTTGTCTCCTGATTCACCGTTGTGTTGTCTGATGTGTCTGTGCTTTTGCTCAGCTTGGAATAGCTTCGTTGGAAAGGATTTTCTGAGGAACTTTGGGTCGTAGTCTTCGTGGTGTAGCCTTGGTTCCGTGACTGGGCGTTTGTCTCACCATCACCACTGGTTGCAAATGATATCGAGTCCTTTTGCGGTATTGTTTTCGCTTGATCTCCAACATAATCGTTGTGGGAACTCGCGATAACGTGTTCCTTTTTATGAACAGGGAACGTCTGCTGAGAGGTATTTAAACCTAATAGAACATGGCTCTCCTTAGTCTGATTGTAAACGGGCTGCATGTCCTGCGAAGGAAGAATCGGAAGAGAGGTTTCTTTGGTTTGTGTGGAGTAGCTCTGCAGGCTCTGGGACGTCGCGGGAAGACTTCGGTTGACTTGATTAGCATAATCGGCGGATCGGTGATCGGAAACGATGCTAGGATCGATGAGCGCATCCTTGTTGTGTGACGGATAGATAACGTTGTGCGACGAACTCTGCGAATCTTTGTCCTTTGTTTGACCAGCATAGTCCACTTGCAAGGAGCGCAAAGTGCTGGGGGAAGAATTCGTCGTCGCGGTCACGTTATCTAGACGCGCGTTCAACATGTTCTGGGAACCGTCTGTGGTGTCGATGCGCGGGACAACAGTGGCGATCGAGTTCTGCGTTGTCGCGTTCGTGAACACAGACGAGGTCGATTGCTGCAACGTGTTGCCGAGACTATTACCTACCACAACTGATGAGTAATTCGGCAGAAAGTCTTGCGGTACCGAGTATGTCACGTCGGGGATACGGCTCGTGGTTGCTTGAGACGTGCAATTCGCGATGTTTCCTTTGTTGTCCGCCGACGTAGAGACGTTCACTTGAGACGTCTGAGACGCGATGACGTTGTTATTGTTCAGAGTATTAGGTACTGCACCGTGATCCCTCGTTGCCAATTGATTCTGACGACTCGAATTCGGCGCAAGACCCGCAGAGTTGCCGACGATGCACACGGACTCCACGGTAGAGAAATTTACGGAGGTGTGAGTGGAGAATGTGCTGGTAGTCGTTACAGGTTTTTCCAAGGTCGTCGCTAAACAAGTTTGTACTATCTTGTACGGTTCTCGCAACGTCTCCTCGTTCACTACTTTTGGTAAACTCTTGGTCGTGCCGCACTCAACAGGGACGATCATCTCGGGATTCGTCGGGCTCACATTCACGGATGCGACCGCGCTGCCTTGTTTTTCCTCACAGGTTGCCTTCAGGCGTTTCTCCGCAATCGTGTGCGACGAGGACGTCTTGATTTTGAAGCTGTTTGGTTCCATGGTACCGATTTGCAACAACATAGGCGGGGTTTGACTGTGGTACTTGAAGTCTTCCTTCATCTCCTCGTCCAGGACCTCGGTTTTGCCGTTCAAGGACGCTACTAGCGGAAACGCCATAAGGAACGCTGCTGTGGGCGACATCGACTCCGGATTATGTGAACTCGAAGGTACTTGCAAGGATGCGAATATATCATTGTCGAGGTCTGAATGCAATCCGTCCGATCTGTTACCGATCGGCACAAACGTGTTCTCGTTAGTGTACGACAATGACTTCGAGATTTCATCTTTCTTCGTTAATTTGGTGTCGTCGTTGACCGCGGTTAACAATGATGACGACGTCGACGTCGATGATAACGAAGACGAGGATGACGATGACAAAGATGAAGACGACGACGTCGATACCGCAACTTCGACGATATTTGCGCCTGCATCAGGTTTCATTGTCGTCGTAGTGTTTGTATCTAAATTTAAGATAATCTTATTACTCTCTGCGCCGCTCATTGTATCGTTGATTTGATGTCGCTCCTTTGCTGTTGTGACGCGCAGCAGGCTGTCGAAACGTGTACCCAAATTGCATACTTCCTTCGATCCTTCCGAGCCGACAGCCTTCTCCACCGCTTCAACGTCTGTCAAAGTGGATTTCGAACCCAATTGTTCTGTACTTTCGCCACTTTTCTCCACTATACTGTCTATCGACATGTTGAAGTCGTTGGACGATCGATCGGGCGCATCTGTTTCGCGTGTTTTCAGCAACTCACCGGGAAACTTGTCTGAAATATCAGACTGCGACGACGCAACGATATCTTCGTTCGTTTTCTTGTCTATCTCAAAGCAGCTAGTGTCTACTATGTTCATTAGCTTTGATGCTTTGGAAACTTCCTCGTGATCTACATCGCTCGCATCCGCAGCTAGCGAAATCGTATCGTTCGATTTCGCGTCAGCTTCCTTCTCGTTAGTCGTAATTGTGTGCTCCTCTTGAATGTCTTCGCCTATTTTTTCTATGACGTGCTTCAAGCTCTCGATAGATTTGCAAGTAGCGGTAAAATCTGACCCTTTCGACGTTGCGACTTGGGTAGTTTTCCCATCGTTGTTATCTTCGTTCTCCTTTCGCTTCTTGTCCTCCGGCTCGTCCGTGGAATCAGGTTCCGAGGACAAACCACGCTTAAGCGCACTTTTTCGGCCCATAATCGCATCGTCTTGAACTTTTGCAGTCGTGTCTTTCGGCGACTTCTTCTCGTTATTCTCCTCGATACTCTCCGCCGTACTCTGTACGCTTTTATGATTTTTCGAGTGACTCCTATTACCCTTCGTTTTCACTTCCGACTCCTTCTTATTCGTGTTCTCCTTAGGCTTTTCCACTTTATCTTTATGTATCGCCGGAATAGGCACTTTGTAAGTCATGGTCGTCTTTGTGACTTCCTTGCCTTTCGGCAATATACCCTTGTGCCCGCCGATCTTCGTGGCATTGATTATGTTCTTCACGTTAGATGCCCAATTGTGAGAATCAACAACCATGTTCGCACGAATACTCGGCACGGTATTTAGGGTGACTTTCTGCACGGTGTTGATCAGCGCGTGATTGCATATAGAGACAACTGTGTTTTGAACACCATTTGGTAATGGTTGCATCACGATCATCTGACTTTGTTGCGTGCTACCGAGAATTATCGGATTAGTAGGCGCCTGCTGCGTATTCACGATGATATTCGATGTCATTGGAGTCACTAGTGGCATCAATTTTCCACCGGACAAAATGAGCGTGTTCGGGGCTAAATTTGTGACGGTGCTAGCCATATGCGGTAACGTCGACTTTTTCTCGTCTTTCCGCTTACTCTTCTTTTTCAATGCTTTCTGCGACTCGGCTTTCTTGTCCGCTGAAAGTACAAAGTAGCCTTAGTTAATGTAGTTATGTTAATAATTTTATACTTACTAGTCTTTTTCTTTGTATTTGGAGTGCTGGTTATGATTGACTCGTTGGTAGAACCTGAATTTAAACATAGAAATGATATCAGTCTATGGCTTATCGATACTGAATTGTGGAAATTCCAAAATTATTTGTACCATTTTGACAACGTTCTGTCTCCTTTGATCCATTTTCAGCTATGCTACTTGTACTATCAGAATTATAGTTTTTACCATTGGCACAATTCACTCGATTCTCTTGATTTTCTATTGAATTGCAGATAGTCTTAGCAATAGCAACTTCTTCAGACAGCTTTTTTGAAGTCGACGATGTCATGGATTTTCTTTTAGAAGGCACTTTAAATTCTACAGGTTTCTCCTTCCTTTTTTTCTCTAAACTTTTTTCTATAAGTAACAAAGGAAATTATTATAATATATATTAAACTACTATGTGATATCTGTTACATATATTGCACTTACTTTCTTCAATCTTATCAAAATATTTGTCTACATCATCAACATTAAATTTATTTGACCATTTCAAAGGAGATATTTTCTCAAGAGCTGGCTCAGCTGGTACAGAAATTCCTGCTTCTTTAAGAAGACTTGACAGTAACTGAGTACGAGACATTAGTTGACTCACAAGTTTCTTCAAACGAGCCAATTCTTCTTCTGCAAAGTAAATAAGTATACAGTTAGTTAATTTAGAAATTAGAAATACTTTTTTTGTATCATGCACAGGAACATATCACATACTATGCGCTTCAGAAGCATGTGTAGAGAATAACTCTTCAGTACGACTATGGAGGTCTTTTATATAATTTGACGCATGAATGAGGATATCGACTTTGTTGCGTTTGCGACCCTCTTGATGTGGTGGTAGCAAATCTGCTAGGGTTTTGAAATACGCATTCATACGTTTTCTTCTGTCTCGCTCCCATGTTTTTGCTTTGCTACAAGAATGTTAAAATACAACAGTATGAGAAATTTAGACGAAAAAGATGAATATCATGAGAATTGTCCATATTCAAGAATAAGATGCTTAAAAACTTTAGGCTTATTGAGTTTAAGAAATTGAATTTAAATACACTAGAAAATAATGCAAATAAAAATATTTCTGCAATACGCGTTACAAGTATTGAGATATTTTCACTGTAACTATCACCACCTTGTACGTAGCTTCTAATTTACTTAGAAGTTTGATCTCAAAAATTGCAAGTGAAAAATTTTGGCGACAAATAGCGAGGTTAGAAAACTATAATAAATTTGTATTTACGTGTTCTCCTTTCGTGGCATAATTTATCCGTTTGACATCGTTTCGTAAAAACAGCGAGCTGCGAAAAACGCTGGTGCGTCACTCGCAACTGACATTACGCGATCATTGGAATTGTCTCCGTAATTGTAACATTTTGACGATTCCACTGATACTTCTACAAAAACATGAAACGACCTACAGCTGTGCCGAGAATAAGAACAAGTGAGATGATAAACTCGAGTTATTACTCCAGTAGGCCTCGTGTCTCGATGTTCGTGCATCATAACTGTTGATTATTCGAAGTTGAACGTAAAAGATCGTCCGACTTGCCGTTGAGTCATACTATTTGGAAATGCAAGGTTCGGCTGACCCGCCATTGAGTTATACCTGAAAGAAACATAGCGGTCGTTACAGGAGATATCGACCAATCATATGTAACCAGATAAATTCAAATATTTTAGAACGTTGCATATGATATGTCAGTCGGTGTCAAGGTAGGATTTCAGAAATCGTAAGTAACATGTGAAGATTATATTGAAGATTACAGAATAACTTATATTTAGCAGAGTGTAGATATATTGTGAAACGAAAAATTGAATATATTTTAAAAAATATTTTGTAAGTATCTTAAATTGAGAAGATTCCTTTTGTAATTTTGTGTAAGCAGTACAACCACATATCCAAATTGATGAATGACTTTCTACTTTTGTTTTTAGTGACGTTTATTGTTATTCTGTATATTTATATTTTGTTTTATTAATTTTTAATCAGAATTAATTCATTTTTGCAGGTAATATTTAATAATCATGGATCTTCCTGTGAATAAGATACATCGTATTTTATTGGATGCTGGCATACCATCAACTATTGAAGATCTAAAAAATCCTACAGAAGAATACATTATGAAGTTATTAACGTCGTTTTTGTCACGGTTTGGTATTGATATAAACTTAATCAATCAGGTGAGATTCTGTATATATATATATATATGTTAACATATATTGTCTGTATATTATGAATATAATTTGTTGATATAATAAGATATATATATTTTTGTATCAATACATATTAATACTCATAACAAAATTTTATAGCCAACTGCAGAACAGTCCTCAATTATGACATATTTCAAAGATTCTGATATAATACAATTGATCAACTTACATGCAGCTCTAACACAAATATTTGACAAAATATTTCTATGCGGTTTCTGTATTACTGATATTACTAATCCAGGTATAAATTGCACTTAAAAACCTCAACCTATACTGTATAAATTTCACAGATAATATGAAAAATATGCATAATTTTTTTAGGGCAAAAACGTCTTCGAAGGCAAGCCAAATATCTTGCTAACTTTATATTATATACAATGCAAAAAAAATCAGAGTTTAACGATAGAATGGATGAAATTCATGCTAGATCTAGGCTAGTAGAGGAATTGAAAGATAAAAAGATTCAAATTCTGGAATCTATTAATAAGAAAGCTTTGCACAAAGCAAAACAATTATCTTTGATAAAAAAAGTAATTTGATATATATTTACATTTAATTGTTATATAACATACAATAAATTTGTATTTTTATATTGTTATATTTTTATCTATAAGTGAATATTTTATCTATAGTTTATATTATTATATTTTTAGCTTGAAAGTGATATACAACATATGCAATTAAAAATTGAAAAAAACAATAAGAGGGAATTAGAACTTGAGGTGATAAAAAACGAAGAAGAAAAGGAAAACCGGAAAATTAAGGAACTTTGCACATCTGTTAAAGTAACAGTAATGAAGGTAAAATATTTTATTTAAATTTAGATTTTTTTATAATAATAGTAGTGTAACATTTTTATTGTCATGTAAGCAATATAACAAGTTTTTACATGTGTGATATAATTTTTAGCTGTCCAAAGCAATAGATGATTTACAGTCAGAAGTCGTACATTCACCTGAAGAGATTCGGTCACGTCTAAATGAACTTGAGGAGCAAAAGAACTTAAAAATAGAGGAACGCAACATAATGCAAGAAGCCATTCAAGATAAGAAACAATCTATAAAACAGATTGGGGCAGGACTTGATGTTGTTCAGAAAGTGAATGATGAATTGCCTACATTAAAAATTACATATGAGCAATTAATGTAATTTTATAATTATTTGAATTTTTATATACACATCTGAAGTTTGTTAAAATTTTCCTTTTTTATAAATTTTTATTATAGAAACCATAAAACGCAATCAGATAATATTAAGAAGCAAATTGAGTCACTAGACAATATGTGGATTGAACAACAAAATAAATTAGCAATGCATAAAGATCAAGTTGATATCGAAATGAATGAACTTCAATCGCGTCATGAGAAAGATATGGCTTCATTGCATAATTTGTATAAACAGTTATTAAGGTAATAATTGCGTATTATTATATTCATATATATTATTATATTCATATTTTTTAACTTTTGATTTAATAATGTCGTTAGTGAGAAGAAATTGAAGAAAACTCAATTAGATGCAAGTAAAGTTTGCTTTAATGAAAAATGTTTGGAAAGAAATAAGCTGAGAGAAGACATTAGAAAAAAAGAAGAGGAATCCATGGCTCTTGTGCATAGTTTTCAAGAAATTTATGACAATGAAATTACTAATGTGAGTATTGGTTACTTTTATGTACATATTTTTATACTTTATATACAAAAATGTACAAAATTAGATCAAAATATATTTAATTAATTAAATTAAGTTGCTTATACCGTAAATATACTTTATAATTATTTTTTTTTAAATAGGAACTTGAATTACGGAAAGCCTGCAAGGAATTATAATTAGAGAATACTCTAAAAATTTGGAGGCATTTAGAAGAAAGCATCTAGTAAGACGGATCATATTAATTATATGTATTATACAATATAATTTTATTATGAAGTTCTTATTATCATAGAAGTAAAAATTGTAGAATAAATAACTTATACTACTATCTGTACTACACACACACACACACACACACATACACACACACACACATATGTATATAAATAATACTATACGTAGTATATCATATGAGGTACGACAATATTATATTTTTACTGAAAGTTAATTTAATCGGATATAAATTTTTCTAATATAAAATCAGAGTAAAATTTTTTAAATATTCGCAATTTTTTTATTTTTCTACAATCTATTTTTTATTTGATTTTTTTGTATTACATATAAATGTACAATGCGAAGTTGGGCATCAAAACGGCGATCGATTTGATATTATCTTGCTGATCCTTGTATCACATCATATTGTATGAAGGATTTCAAGAAAGATTGAAAAAGGTCTATTCACCATTGAGTTGAACTAAGAAATACAGGGGATGCAATTTATCGAAGGCAATGAATCTTAATCAGTAAAATTGCAAAATATGTGCAACTAACAAGATTGTAAGGAATGTATCTTATCGTCTGTGGCTGGAAGGCATATCGGCGATGTGGATCCTTTGCGTAAGAATTACTATCTTCAGTGATTTCTTCAATCTTTGATAATCAGGGCTCTCAAATATTTTACGTTTTCATATTCTTAGTATAACAACAATAATATTTGCATAGATTTTATAATAGGAAGTTTTAAAGAATCGAATTGTTAAAAAGCTATGATGCAAGACATTTTTAATACAGGTATTGATTAGACTTTTCCAACTTGTAATCCTGTTGATGTTGTCTGGTATTCTGTTTTCCATTGCTGCTATTTCGCGTTTGATGGAAATAATAATTATCGTAATACATCCTACCGCTATATTTTTACTGCGACAGTCAGCGAATTTGATCATCGTGAGTATTATAGTATTATATTTTATTATTCGTTAATTAATTTTTTTTTAGAACTTTTTTCTATACCAACTTAAGAATATAAAGAAATCTCATTAGAGATCGCTTAGATCTAAACGATAACAAATATTATGCTAAATGAGATATAATCAAGACCAGGGCCTAATAGCCCCATGGTCAGTTAATTTTGAACACATGGTCCTGCACAGTTCTCGACAATCCTGACTGCAAGAATGACGTCCTTAGCGTATCATGAAATGTACGAACTTGTTAAATGCGATCGACAGGAAGTAGTTTCTTCGCAAGAGCCATTACCAGAGCAAAAGATCGCCCCTTTGCAAATTGACGTGCGAACTTCTTTTGTGTCATATAAGAGAAGTCATTTTCAAGAAATAACTAAGTGTCCATCTATGGAAGATAGATCTATTGCTGGACCATCGACAGGCAATGGAATCATCGAAACTTCGCAAGATCAATCGCAGGATAATAAATTGGAGAAATTAACTGAAGACAATACTACTGATTATTTATGAAAGGAAACTGATTATTTATGGAGAAGAATGGAAATTTCTATAAAACAGTTATTTTGTTTATACAAGCTATTTGTGTACAAAGATTAAATATAAATTTTATTGGAGTAAATTGTACACATAACTATTTTTGGTGAGTGCAGTTTTTTTGCGTCTGCGAATATATTAGAAAGTAATAGTATAGGATTATTACGACGGATACGCTATGTATTGAAACGTGGCGAAGTAGTCTGTTTATTATCGTTTTATCATAATTGTGAAGCTGCATCGTTTGATCTGGCAAAACTTCAATTAGTTACATATTAAAAGGATTATTTTATGTCAAAACAAATTATCTTTTGAACCACATATAAATAGTAGCTATTTAAATTAAAAGTACTGTGAGAGATCTGATTTAAAAATTTATCGAAATAAGCTATGGATGTGAGTTTTGTAACGTTGCAAGTTACATTTATTATGATATAGTATAATTATGCTATTAATTTTTGATAAATTACGCAGTTGAAGGCCATGATATCTGATTTGAATGACAAGATTCCTTGCCTGCGGCATATCGTTCGTCCGGAATATGCTTCGTATTTAACAATAATTGCAACAGTATTGATAGGATGGCTGCTCATAACTTGGATATTTCATGTACGTATTTTAAAATTTATATAACGTGTGATTATATTATACTAATTATTTTATATTAATAATTCTTTTATAGTTAATCCGGATGTTGTTAATACCTTTAGCGATAAGCTTTGTCGCTATAGCGGTAATATATTCAACAACTATTAATTGGTATTTGCAGCAATTAGGAACAAACTTAGAAATAATGGTAAAGGATTTTGTCTATAGATTTCAAACACCTTAATGACAACATTGAGAAAATTGAATAGCATTTAATATTTATAAACCGGGTATTTATCTCATTTATATTTGCATTTATATTCTGAAATATATAATTTACTTAATTTATTGTTAATTTTAATAAATCAAGTAAAAATACAATGAGCGAGATTTGAAAAATTTGTATAAAACTCTGAGAAATAAAATGAATTTAATTATTGTATACGACATTTTTTTAGGATACCGTCAAATTCTTCAATTAATCACATGAATTTGTCCATGAGGCTTAATGAAACGTTTCGAAAAATTACTTAACCTTGCATCCGACAGTTCTAAAAAATTTTAAGCATACGATTAGGAAACAAATTGCGCATGTAAATATGTTTCATGGTGAAAAAGAATTGTACAAGAAGGAAAACGTATAATATAGGAAAATTTCAGAGATGGGCATTCAAAACTCAAAACGGTGAGTGTTTGAGTCAAATCTAATTCGCAATTAGAAAAATATAATCATTTATTATTATTAAAAAAGTATTCTGCGTTTTTATACACTAAGAATATACACAACGATATATAAAAAATTAGAAAATTATTAGATAATTAAACAATATTTCAATGACGTTAAATTGAATAAATTAGATGTCGAAGTTATAGGTTTAATAATATTAAATAAATTAATAAATTATAACGTATATTTACGGCGTATAAAACTCTGAGAGTTCGTCCAACTTCTTTTTATATCATGCTATACTGTTCGTCGAACTTCATCTCGGGTGTGTTGCTCGACTTCACTGTTTGCTCTTGCGCGACATTTGCTTGTTCATTCTTCTCTAACTGTATCGGGTCAGCCTTTCGCTTGCTCATCCCCGATGTAGGAACATCGATGTTTTGGCGAGCAACTGGATGTTCTTTTTCTAATTCATTGTTCTCCGTAAGTTTTGGTGAGCTCGATTGTGCCTGGCGAAAATTATTGTACGGAAATGCATTCACGGTGACACTTGGTGATACATATTGAGGATCGTACGTTTTCACGGGATACGATGTATATTCAGGATATTGCGAGGGATACCAAGTAGAATGTGTGTTAGGATAATATGGATGCTCCTGGTACGTGTCACCGTATGTGTTCGTCGGCTGCAAAAAAAATAGTTCAATATTCAATATCCTAAAACTCATAATTTATGATATATTTAGTGGAATATATATAACTACGTATGTAGTGAAAATTAATTATCCTTTTTATTATTTATAGATGATTGTTTTATTTATAAATGGAATGTTTTGTTTCTTTCATAGATTTTTAATCTCATTCAGTGATAAATTTCCGGCGGTTAAACCTTAGTATGACTGATTACGCCTTGCATGCATCAAAAGATTCCAAGCGCATTGTAATATCTCAAATATTACGCTATGGATGATGATAACACTGAATTAGATAATCAGGATCAAAGGGAAAACAATGGAGATAGTTTTATATAAACAATAATTTGTTTATTTTTTGAACAAATAATACATAAGGAAGTTATATCGAAGCTACGCGTAATCGGTGCAGCATTTGAAGTGTTCGATCATTAAGGTTGCTCAGTCCAATTCCTTAAGGGTCATCAAGGATATGAAAGGATTAAACCTGTGCGTGAAACCAGACATTATGTACTTAGCTCTTACAATCGAGCTACTAGACCTTCTTGATGGAAGGACCTTTCTATGTTAAGACTTCTACTTAATAATATCGCGCAGATAGGAATCTTTTGATGTCGTTTCAAAATTCTGTCGCTTTTCAAAATTTGCACCATCATTATCATATGATATCACACGTTTGTTACTATAAAATTAATGATAGCGTGTAGTATCATTACTTGATATTACTACCAGTTCGGTACTTACGTAACGTTCTCCAAAGACGATTGGGCGGTTATTCGATAAATAGCTCAAAGGGTAAGGGGGTTGTACGACCAATGGACTTGTTGCGATACTTTGGGTAGGATGTACCATCAGGTGATGCTCATGTATTTTAGGATGATGCCTATACAAAGTGTGTGGACGTCCCTTCTGACAGATGCACTGTGCGCCGGATACTGGTTGAGGTTCCAGCTCGGTCACCTAAGCAGCGGAAGAAACACATTTCATTTTATTTCCAAAAATTTCACTACGCGTCGAAATGTCGTTGTCTCATTGAAATATTTAAAAATCTACAGATCTACAAAAAGTCAAGAATCCAAGAACTTAAGAATTAACATAAGAATTCAAAGAAACTTAATAATTTGTAATTCTACTAAGTTTTAAAAACTATTCCTCAACTTTTTTCTCTTTTAAGAAAATTGATTTTTTGACTAACCTCCACAGCCAATTGCTTTTCAGGATATACTGCTACGGGTTTGGATGGCAGAACGAGCACATCTTGTTTGCAAGGAGCAGATTCTATTGACACAACTTCCATAGATACCGGCTAAATTGAGAAAATTATATTGATTAGTTTATGATATATATATATATATATGTCTCAATTAATTTTAAATGTGTGGGCTTTACTTGAATATAATTTTAGTTTTAATTTTAACAGCTTAACGTGTATTGAAATCGAGACATTAAAAATTATATGATGATTTCTGATTATATTCTTGAGAAAATTATGTTTATTATTTATTATTATATATATATATATATAGTTCTTGATTTTTTCATTACATATTTAAAATTTTTTATGTTTATCTTAATCTACCCTCTTTTCTTACCTTTGGCTGAAATTCTGGTTCTGGTCTAGATATCGGTCTAGGTTCTGGTTTAAATACCGGCTTGATATAATCGACTTCTTTCACGAACTCCTGTTTGTGTTCGATCGTTGATGGCGGCATGACATTACAGGGAGCGGCCGGAGGCGTTAAGATGTTAACGATCGGAGTTGGTTGAGGTGAAGAAATTTGCGGAGGAGGAACGTTGTATGGTGGCACGAAGATCACAGGCTGAGCAGCTGGTTGAAAAGCTTGCTGAGGGGGTAGTTGAGGAACTGGCTGAGCCGTTTGGATTGAATGAGAAATTGGTGCGACTTGAATGGTTTGAGGCTGTTGTGGTTGCGCATGGATTATCTGGACGGGTGTTTGGGTTTCACTGTACTTATTGGGATAATTTATATAGGCCGGCGATGGATTTATTACCGTCTGCTTAAGAGGCTTGACCACAAGTGTAGGCTGGTTTGTATCTAAGCAAGGAACTTCCTTTCCATCGCGGATTTCCACGCAGAAGCTTGTTGTGGATTTCTTCGCCCTATCCTTATCCAGGCCAGGATCTTCTATCTTCAGATTATCCTTTTCGATCTTATTCGTCTTTTCACTGATCGATTTTTTTTCGATGTTTTTAAACGTAGATGGTGCAGCTTGGCAGGCAACTAGTGCCAGCAGGAGCAGCGCGCAACAATTTTTCAGATACATTGCTCGTTTGGTATCGTATTCGAAGACGAACTCGAACTGATGAAGCAGGACAAGTTGTCCGGTTTTTTAAAGGAATTCGCGACCAGCCGCAAAATTGGAATTGAGATCACCGGCTATGAAATCGATGTTTTGCTTGCAAAACTGGCCGAACAATCCGATGCGTCGGCAAATTGCGATGCGTGATTAAACAATGTGTGTCTTCATTATTGCATAATCACGAATCAACTTTATCGCTTTTATTCTTGTCTCTTTCTATATTCAGTTCATTTATTTCACATCTTAATGAATTCAGAAAGATTATTACCTAATCTTATTGAATTTATTATTGCATAGTTTTATAGTAAGAGAGAAGTTATAAAACCACTGTTATATTCAGAACATTGAACGAAAATCAGTAACATTAATTGTAAGAAGACATTAGTCTTGCTTACTTAATGTATAAATGTTTTATGGTATTTTAGGAATTTATGTTGATCGTATAAAGCAACGTATAAGCAATCACAACAGCCTCAAACCATTCAAGTCGCACCAACTTCTCATTCAATCCAAATGGTTCAGCCAGTTCCTTAACTATCTCCTCAGCAAGTTTTTCAACCAGCCGCTCAGCCTGTGATCTTCATGTCACTACCCACATACAACTTTCCTATAATAACAAATTTTACAGTAATCTTATGGATCTTTCGTTAAATGTTAAACGAAAATATTTAATTTAAAATATAATAGCATATTTGAAAACAATATAAATCTCTTAATGTATGAGGTAGAGATGGGATATCGAACAGAAATAATCAATTATAAGCTATAATCGGTATCGGTATAGCCTATCTCTACTGTATATATCGAAAAGAAATAATACTTATAATTATTATAGCTATAATCGATATCGGTATCTCTAGTTTGAGGATATATAAGCAAACGTAGGACGATTTGTAACAACAGTGTAATAAATTGCTACATATTTTTAAACATTTGTGTTTACGTTGGCTTAACGTCAGCTAAACGCTGAAGTTACTTTCGTGTTGCAATCCATTAGTAGCCTTACGCACATATTTTTTGCTTATGTATGAAATTCTGCGAGCCTCACGCGCTCCAATTACGCAAACGATTAAAATTTGGCATAATTCCTACTTCCGTTGAAAAAATATAGGTCGTATAGTATTATCCATGCGGATATATATAAAAGTACATATAGTATGATTTTATTTTATCTATATTTTACCTATTAAAATGTGACAGGAGTAGACTGTATATGTATATTAAAACAAGGTAGTTACTAATTAATAGATAGGAAAAAGATACTTCTATAAGTACCAAATATAATTACAATGACTAAATTCTTTCTCTTTCTTTCTCTTTCATGAACTAATATTAATACTGCAATTCTAGACAAAATCGTAAAACTTGTAACTTGTTCTCGTAAGACTCGTAAGAACTTATGAGTAGATCTGCAATTCTATGCGGATCGTATGTCATACAATAACTCGTAAATATCTACGATTTCTCGTAAATCTTACGACTAGAAGTTGTCAATAAAGTTACGGTTTGTGAATTTTACCAACATTATGATTAATTCGTAAGCTACGATTTTACGATTTATTCGTGTATTTGCTTAGAATTGCAGCATAAATTTTATACGATCTTAACTACTAATTAATATCGTGTTACAAAATAAAATTACAGAAGTAATTTTTTTTTATAATTTTTTATTTTCAGACAACATAAAAAAATATATAGTTGGAAATCCTGTACGTATATTACAATTTTAACATAGCATCATCTGTTACATTAAATAAATTTAAAGAGCGATTTATTTTGATTTCTCTTAACTAAAAGCTCTCCTTTACTGTTAATGTGGGACGTTTTTTAAAAGATTCTATTGGCGTCTGCTCGGTTGGTCCTAATGGAGGATTTTCGACTTCATCTATTAAATCAGGATCAAATTCTGTTAAAGCCTCATTTTGCATATTATCTTTTGTATCTGATCTCCTGTCGAGAGTAAAGCTATTATATTTTCTTGCATCGTACGTATCTTTAATGAAAATCTGATCCTGGTTATGTTCGTCGTCTAGGATAATCATTTTATCGCTCTTCAAAAGTCTTTCATGTTTTTTTTCCGTAGGATTCGCACGCACTATGTTATTTTTCGTTTCTGGCAAATCAATGACCGAAAACTCAGGATACTTAGAAGCGCTTAAAATATTCAAAAGTGATTGCGGAAAAATGTAAGGAGTAACATGAATTACAGGCGCACGGATAATTCTACCAGTACTGATGCGTCCGATTTCGTCCTGGATCGGATATTTATTTTCATCCTGAAAGTACTTATTTTCTTCCACAGGATATATCTCGGATTGTCTTGTCTTTTGAATTCCTTGCAAACCTCTGCTAGTCATGAACTTCTGCTTGTTAGGGAGTTTTTTATCTTCTGTAGTCCTCCAAATATTCATATTCGAGAGAAGAGCGTAAGGATTATAAGTAGATGTTTCAGTCTGGGTGGTATCCTTTCCGATTTCGTCTTCCAAATATTCCTTGTCTTTGTCTTCCTCGTCGCCGAAATATTTAACATCTTTTTCAATTGCAGGATATACTTGTGACCAATTATTTTCAGTTTCTTTAAGTTGATTAGTTTCGACGAAATTTTGCAAGTTATTACCTGTCGCAGAGTCCCAATTATCGGGGAGAGTCGTTTCATCCTTTATAGGTTTCCGAACATCATATGAATCCTGAGATAAGGTGTAAGGATAATTAATTTGCTCATTATCGTGTTTGGTAGTAGTCATTTCATCTTCTTCCACGGAATATGTCTCAAAAAAATTACTTGGAGAAGATTTCAACTGTTTTAGACTTGAGGTTTCTAAAGAATTTTTCATGAAATCCAAATTGCCATTCTTCGTCGGCTTTTGCATGTCTAAATCCTGAGAGAGAACATAAGGTTCGCGCCGAACTTTAGGTACACCAAATCTTACAGAATGATATCTATTTTGAGGAAATGCAAGATTATATTGTCGGCTGATAGAATTTGGAGACTTTACAATTGCACTTCTTTCCTCCTCCTCGTTCTTGTGCTTGTCAAGAATACTTTGCTGATGGAATATCGGCAAGAATTTTCGTGGCACGATTTCATTCGAAGATATGTGTCTTGAATTTTTCCATGAAGGTTTCATGTAAACGATGTTGAATTTTCTCGTAGGATCTTCTTTCTCTGTATAGTCTTCAACATTCTCTAACAAGGATATTGAGTATTTATCGCGAGGAATTCTGAAGAATGAGTTTTCCTGCTGTGGTTCACTAAACAATTGTCTTGATGGAAAGACATGAGGATAGTTGTTCACGGGTTTGTCTAGAGATAGAGTCATCTGTTTGTCTGAGAATTCAGCGAACTTATTCGGAAAGTTTCCGAGAAATGAATTTTGTTGTTCTGATTTGTCGACGAATTGCGTAGATGGAAGTCTACTGGCGTGAAGATATTCGCTTGCAGGTTGTTGCTGAGAAAAGCTTCTGTATCTTCTAGGAAGTTTTGGATTCTCATTCGAAAGAACGTCGTCGGATGCTATATTCTGAGAGATTTCTCTTTGTGTCAGATGGAAGGAAGGTGAATTGTGAAACGGTGTAATTGAAAAATCTTGTAAGATTTTGCCTTGTAAATCTGATTCTCGACGAGGATACCTGCAACATTTCACAAATTGTTCTTTTTGCATATCAAACACAAAATGATACAAAGCTTTTTAAGTTTTTAAAGATTGTGATTTTTCTCACCATGGTGACGTTAACGCTTCTGGGCAGTCCTGACTGCAGGAAGGACAGAATGTTCGTCTAGGAGTCCATTGCGACGATCCGCAAATTAGAATTGCGGTCGTAGTTAAATAACATACTAAATAACGATGAAACATTTGTCTCGGCATACTTGAAAAATTTCCATACTGATACATGATAGCTCTATATAAGCTCGTATACGAAGGATGGAGCAAGGACATGCGATATCGCTAACACAAATGTTTTCCGAGGCTTGCAACGTTTATCCATTTCTTATATACATTCGTTATAATCTTTAACAAGAAAAACGAGCAAATGATTATTTGTTTATTTGGCTCTTAATTATTCACTTCCTTATTTCCAGGCAAGATGTGGGTGACGACATAATATCGCAAAAGTCTTTGGACGCAGTGAAGGGACTTATACATTTTCTAAAAAAACGTAAATTCGCACATTTGATGTTACAAAGAAATATATATTCATTAACAATATAACTTGAAAAGTTATGATTTAATTTTTCTATTAAAGATGCTAGAGTAGAAGGATTGTTTCGTCGGGCAGGACGTCGCAAGCTTCGACGGCATATCCTGAATTCTCTGAAAAAAGGACATAAGCCGCATTTCGAAGATTCGAACAATTCAGCTTTGGAATGTGCGGCAGCCTTACAAATTTTCCTTAGCCGTCTTAAGAAACCTATTATGCCGCAGCATGTGCAAGAATTGATTCTCGGTAAATGAGCAATGACAAAAAAGCGCCATAAACAAAATTAAATTATGTAAATTAGCGGGGTAACAAGTACTTTCAAATAATCATATTTTACTTATAATTTGAAATTGTGCGATGCGAAAACGTAATGTTCATTGACAAAGGAAACAAATTTATCGTCAGCAAAATTCGCATTCCGATAAATTGCGATGTCAAGCAGCTTAAATTTCCATGTAACATGCACTTTTAATTTTATAACATCTAACTATTTTTAACATCTTACATTTAACATACGATTTTTAACGATTTACGATTTTTAAATTCTTATTAATTTTTTTAGCTGATAACCCAGGTGTAGAAGCACAAGTTATCGCACAGGATGCTTTAGGACTTATTAAACAGGACGTCGGCGGTCGCCACGGTGAGCTTCTGAACGATATTTTGGATCTCTTGAGACACTTGACGCTATCGGGACCATCTTCGGAGTGTTCCGAATTACGAGGATCACCTTTACCTATTGTTCTTCTACCGGTGTTTTTTAATTTATCGGTGACGTTACACATTATTCGAATTTCTTAATATTATTCTCAAGATACAATGTCATAAAATTACATTTTCAAAAAAGCAAAAGAAATTCGTTTCAATCGAAGATGAAATCAAAGCGCATTAATTTGTAACACACTATTGATTATATTTTTAAAATTTTATGACATTGATTCAAAGAAGTTTTAATACTCAATGTCTTAAAGCGTATAGAGTTAAGCCACTTTAACATTAAGTAACTCAATTGTTAGCAACTAAATGCTTTCATTTTTTTATGCCAATAAAAATCATATAATCGAGTTCAATCCGATAGAATACATTCTTCTAAGGAGTTTTTTTTACAATGTATCTCATTTATTTCTTATTTTACAGTCCGGTGATTTGATAAAATGGAAACAGGTTGCGGCCAGATTCAGCGAATTAATTACGGAAGCCGCTGAACAATTTCACCGGAACGAACAACATGCCACTCATACGGAAACTACATTAAATTCGACAAGTGTTGCGGACGTAAGAAATTCCTGTTGGAAAAACAAGAAAAAACAGTTAAAATTTGACCGAGAACTTTTTACCTTGAGACAATTTTGAAATTTCACTGAATTTCACAATTACTTTTAAGATTTTTGTCTCAAAGTAATTCTTGCTGAAGTAAAGACAATATTACTTGTTCTTAGGTAGCTTCAACATCTTTAGAAGAGTCTGAACAATTAACGAGGTTGCAGGAACTTTCTTTACTGTACCCTATCATCCGATTTACAGACCATTATAACGCTTGTAAGATAAATATCGTTTAATAATTTAGGTATAATTTTATTAATATGATTAATATAAATTAACTAAATATAACCGATTATATTACTTCAACCTAATTATTGTTACTAAACTTTGCGGCAAATTAATAATTCAATGACGTCAATTCCGTTGACAGGCCACGTTGGCGAAATGGCACGTATTCTTATTACACCGTTGCAACATCCAACATCGGTTAGCAGATTACATCCGGCACTTATTAATTCTAATTAGATATCAATTATTGAGCAAATGTATAAATTTTTGGTGTAAATCATTGTATTTATATATTGCAATAACGTTCATGTAGATTGACTGATTGATTTATGTTTTAATTGAGATGTATCTGCATGCAAAATGTCAGTGAAAACTAATGATAATTAATTTAATATTAATGGTCATGTCAGAATTACAATAGAGATATCCCTTTGCATAAATAGGAGTTATTTGCAAATACATATATTTTCAAGTGCTTTTATACATTGAAACGAAAATAAAAATTTAATACGCATTAATTATACTATAGAATATAACGTTGAATAATAAAAATAGACATTTAATGCTAATTCACTATCAAAAAGTGAATTTATTTGTAAGTGAAATTTATTTACATGTACAAGATGTGACAAATGTATGGTTAAATTTCAAGATTTAATTAAATCATTCTCATAAAACGCATATGTATTTTAAAACTTATTTTTTATTTGTATTTGTATTGTTATCATAACGGTTTAGACTAGTTTTTCTTATTTATTGCACGCGCTCTTGAAATTTAACTGTATTACTTAGTCGCATATCGCACATTTTCGAGTGCACTCTTCTATGATACATCGAGACAAGAAGTAAAATTCTTTCACGATAAGTCTAAGTTTAGAGTACTACACATATGTATATGGGATGCTCCAAAATAAATAGATGATTAATACACAAAATATTGTTCATTAAACTTGATGCTAAGTTTCATGAGTTTCATTAGAAATTAAAATTATTAATGATCTTTTCAAATTTTCCATGAATCCTAACTTTTTTTAATGTTGGACCCGTTCTTTTTATCTTTTTTCTTATTTTTTATAAATTAGTAATGAAAAGAAAAAAATTTATTAGCAATTTATATTCTGTTTACGAAGTTTTACGTCTTAAGTAACTTTGTAATAAAATCACTGATTAAACTGATTAACAAGTTGGTCTAATGTGATTAAACTAACATGTTGGTTAATGTAATTATATTAATTAACTAACAAGTGAGAATTAATTGATTCCAAATCTACTTAAAAAATATATTCGTTATCGATTCGCACATCCTCTAGGACATCTAATATGTGCATGTACGCGCGTGGGAAATAAAGAATGCCACTCGTTCCTTTTATTCGCAATTTTAGCCACGACGAAGAGCTGTCATAGAGCCTGAGATCAATTATTAGGCTAATAATGGCTATGACCAATAAAGCCATGATCGATTTGAGGATTGCGTAGGCGACTTCGCCGTCGGTGTGGTTGGTATAGACGAGGATGGTGTACCCGCCGCAGAAAGCTGTTTCTCAGCAAGTTGATTTCTCAGTCTAACCTTTTCGTTCGTTTCGTCTTGCATTTTTTGTTCGTACTGTCGAACACTTTCCAGAGTCATATCGTACCACTCATCAATCCAGGCAAAGGCCTGTCTATGGCCAAGCAGTAGGATATCTCTGATACACTATGACAATAGAAAATAATCATAAATTAATAAAAATAATCAATCGAAGATTTTTTGTTAGAAAGAAATGGATTTAAGTATTTTATTTATTAAACTTACTTTGTGTATGAAATCCTCTACTCGCGTCTGCATGCCCCATACTTCAAACGAAGCATGAACCAATTTATAGGAACACATTATTGGTTGTGTCATGTCTCTCCAGCCTTCGACCAAAGGACCACGGCCCGTTCGTTTTGATTGGAAAAATTTTGGATCCTGTTATATTAATTACAATTAAGATATAATGTTAAAAATTTAATTATAATGTTAAAAATAAAATAAGAACTGATTCAAGATTCTATAAACTTACTTCCTCTTCTTTGTAATGCTTTGCAGAGATTTCATCATATGCAATATCCACAAAATCGACTTCTCTATGAATCAATTCAATTGGAGACAATCCTAAGCACTGTAATTTAATGATTAATTATTATAATAAAATTAAATATAAATAATGATTATAATAAACTTATGATTATAACAAAAAGGAATTAATAATTATAACAAAAATTAAAAATGTTAAAATGAGAATTATACAACTTACATTTTCTGTTGAGCCATTGTTATCTTCATACCGTGTATTAATTGCTACATGGAACTTTGGGATAAAAGAACACTGAAAGAGAAAAGTTCAGGAATAATAGGAAATTTTATAATTATGTTTATGATTAATTTTACTTACAGTATATTCTGTGGCCACCACGAATAAGCATGCAAGAAAATGAACAATGTTAATAAGAAGAATCACTTTTTATATTGATTAGGAAAGAAAATGAAAAATTTAAGGACTATTATTCTTAACAGTATCGAAAGAATAGGATTGATTTCAAAGGCAAAGAAAATTAACAATGCTAATTGTGAGAAGCATTAATCATGAAACTGAATGAAAAATGATATAATTATCTTAATAAAACAAAATATACCTGTGATAGTAAAAGGATAATAGTTCCATGCTTTTTCTGTCACATAAAATATTCGTGGTAGGATAGATTGTATCCAGTAAGGAAGTTTACTGCAAGGAAAATAGAAAGTTATAATAACTATACAGAAAGAAAAAATAATGCTCTATTTTAATTGGTTAATGTTAAAGTATCTATACATATATATATTTCACTATAAATGACTCATTAAGAATAAGTTTACCTGGAAAGATGAATTCTTTTCTCAGTATACTGGCCTTTTCCATGAACAGGATCTTCACAAACGGTATTTTCTATAACTTCTACTCCCTCATCAGAATCAGATTGCTCATGACTATGTCTGGCAATCATATATAACTGGCCAATGCGATACTGTACAAAAATAGAATGGTTAGTTTAAAGGAATCACTAGAAGAGTCGCTTTCTGATAAGTTTATAGATAATAAGTAACAATACACAACAATAATATTGAGATAAATATAAACGTTTGGTGCCGGATAAATAAATTGGTATGTAAGTAAATACACAACACACTGAATGTTACCTCTTCCGTACTAAGCGGCATGCAAATGCGATATTCCTTTGTGAGAACCATTGTCAGTAAAACTGACCCTCGGTTGTTAATTGATCAATTAATTGACACGTATTTCCTTGCCAATTAGCCGTGCAAAAAATCAACTTTACTGGTTAGCATCAATTTATGATAAACAATCCGCCATAGCGAGTGAAGTTCGCCGCAACCAGTGTTCCGATATTGAAGAGACTGCATACGCATGCGCGGTGTGTATGGCATCAGGATAGTATCTAAGATAAGCAATATGGGGTACGGTTCTTGGGTTTTATTATATTACTGTAAAATTTTAAAAATGTTGATAAAATGTAACATAGAATAAGTTTATAAGATAGCATTCTTGCCTTATAAAATGTATGCTACATCTTATTTACATTTTTTTTTTAATTTTACATTAATATATGTAATAAAGCCCAGCAACGGTACTTCGTATTACTTGTCTTACATACTATCCTGATGTCATATACGCCGCGCATGCGCGCGCAGTCTCTCCAATATCGGAACACTAGTCACATCTTGACGAAAATCGATAGTCGGGTCGGCAAGCTACGAATAAGAAAATCACTATCGTGAGTTGGTGGTGATGAAAGTCACCAGGTGGCAGTTCGGTGACAATTTCACGTGTTACGTGTACAAAAATTTTGCGGATAACAAATTCGTGGTACGATGTGCAGGTAACATCGATGCGTTGGTGCAACATGCGATGGTGAAACAGGCAAGAATAAGAGGCGGCGGAATTATAGCTGCGTGGTCCCGGTGTGAAAGAAGGAATCTAAACGGAAGAGAGCCGATCGGCGCCAATGGCCTACGAAGCGTTATGGCATGAGTACATGCATATGCCTGTGGTGACGCGGGCTTATACCACAGCCTGTGTCATCACAACTCTCGCCGTGGTACTTATCTTAGTTTTTTTCCGCAACCTTCAACTATGTACAAAGATGATTACGTTTTTACATAACTTGTTTCTACATAACTTGTAACCTCTTAAATACATGGATTTCTCCATTCTGTATATTTCTGTATATTTTCATTCTATAAACTTTTGAGATTCTTAGATTCTCTTGATTCTTGAACGGCTGAATTCACAAATCTCTGGATTCTTGGATGTTCAAATTCATAGATTCTTCCATGTATCTCTTTCTTTTTTTAGATTCTCACGTTTTCAGGTATCCCTGGATTTTGGTAGATTTACTCTCAACACTTGCATTCATCCATTACTTTCTTTAAATTTCTGTCTATATATATTAATAACTTATTATGAGTTGTACAAATTCTTGTCATAATATTCTCTTTAGTTGTACACATATTTATATGATATTTAATATCTCTATGAAGATAAATGTAATCTGAGTATAATAGTAACATTATAT